AAAAAAAAAAAAAAAAATCATTTATATTTCTTTATTTTTAAAAATTGATTGCTATTGCTTGAACTATAAAAAGAAAGCATATACATATATTCCATCACTAAATAATTATAATTTTTAAAAAAAAGAAAAACAATATGACCAAAGAAAGTAATATTCCTTTATTTTATTTGCAATTTTTTTCCTATGGCATCGAATATCAATTCAAACTTGATATGCACTGACTTAGAATTCTTTAGCAAATTTAACTTAGAACAACAAAATTTAATCAACTTTGATACATGTTGGCTTTAAGTTCTTTATAAATTTGACTCAAAATAACAGAAAAATATCGACTCCGCATTTTTCGAAATATGGACTCCATTTAATTAACATCATACATATTGAGTTCAATTTATTTCCGTATTTGAGATCGGAATAATAGAAATGTCTTCATTTGGTATTTATTAGTCATGGGTTATATTTAATTAAGTCGTGAATAAACTAAGAGTGCATTTTTCAAATATTTGTTTGCTATATACAACTATCAAGCTCTCATTTTTCAATATACTGCGAATGCTATTTTCATCTAATTTAATGGTAACAAACTATCAAAAATATATATTAATATACATATAATCATAAAAATCTTTTTAAATCAATTTGATAGATATTGTTTATTAATCTCAGTTTTCTGTTGGTATGGCTCATATATTGACAAAGGAAGGAGACAGGCTGATGTCTGCGAGCGTAACGGAACGAACGTAGCGAGGGAAGCGGAGCGACCGAGCGAAGTGTATGAACAGAAATGTTCATACAAAAATGTATGAACAGAAAGAAGAAATAAAATATAAAACAAAAAACCTAGGGCCACCATGTCAATGATCAAATCACGAATTGTGCACCTTTTTTAAAGGACAGTTGAATACTCATCATACAAGAACGTCCTCGAATACTCATTATACAAAAACTAACAATGGAAATGTATATTATCAAATTATTTTCTCGCCCATTTTCTTTTATAATATTTGAAGCAATTTTTACCAATCAAGTTATTTTTATACTACATATAATTTCTTATAGTGTCTAAAATTTCTTATAGGACTCAGATCAAGGAAGGTGAGGTTTCCCCCTATTGAAGGTTGTTAAAAATAGCGAAAAGGTCTAACCTAATGGAATTCTTGAAAAAATTGCAATTTTAGTCCAGTAACTTAGGTTGTTTTCCATTTTAGTCCACTAACTTAGGTCGATCTAAATTTGGTCCAAAAACTCCCAAAAGTTAGTTAAATCAGTCCAATTGGACTAAAATTGAACTGAAATTGATCAATCAATTTCGGCGAAAAGGACCGAAATTGGAGTGATTTAACTAACTTTTGGGAGTTTTTGGACCAAATTTGGATCGGCCTAAGTTAGTGGACTAAAATGAGAAACAGTCTAAGTTACTGGACTAAAAATGCAATTTTCTCGGAATTCTTAGATGATGAGGCTGGATTTGCTGCTCAATTTGCCATTGCCTTGAAGGAAAATGCTAATGTTGACGAGCATGATGATAAAATGAAAGATAATTTCGGTGCATATTAGAGTTATTAAATTAATTTTTTATAATATGGTATTATTTGGATTCAATTTTTAATAATAAGTAGTTTGCCTAATAATGTTGGCATATGCCAATTAGGCTTGATTTTAATACTTTTTATTAAATTTGGATATTAGTTTGTTTTTAAAATTTGAATGTTATGTCTATTACAGTTTTTAAACTATGGTTTCTGGCAAATAAATATTATATATGGTTTATATTTATTTGACTCGGATTATACAGTTAGACTATTAGTCTATTTTTTTTTTTTTTAAAAAAAACATTTACTAATTTTGGACATGATGTTTATGCGGTTTATGAATTTTTGTTTCTAAGCAATAAAACAGTTTAACTTATTCGCCGAATACATATACATATACGTATATAATATAATTAGAATGAGAAAATACAAATCAAGAACTAAGCTACATCAAGGTAATAACAAGTTAACATAAATATATCACTCAACAACCAAAAGGTAGCTTTTAATTCTACTATATGAATTAACCTAAATAAGCATAAATTGAATCTGTATAGTTGTAGACCGACACATATACATGTAAAA